AAGAAGGAGAGAGAAAAAAAAAGATTGACCTACATATGTGAAGGCGGAGCCTGTAACACACACCTTTATTCAATAAAATCAACAGTCAACTTAGTTAACTACAAGTTACAAATTGATGATAAGTTCCACAGAATCAATATTCTCATTTTCACTTTATACTCATACTTCGGAAACATAAACTTCTAAGGGAGATCCTCTAACTGACTAATCGCTTTTTAATCAAAATAATGTACATCATGTAGACTTTAATGATTTATGAATATACTAAAGAGTTTGTGATGTTAGCTTTTTGCTGTCGAGATACTTTATACAGTATTTTTTAGCATAATACAGTGGCCCTACACAACAATGTTGTATCCAATGTGAGAGTCGAAGAGGTAGCGGTCCTCTGAAGATCGGATTATTCCTCTCTGAATTTGTGGTTCTTCTATCATATTCTATGTTTCTATGTTCTGAAAAAAGATTTTTGCTCTCCGAAGTTTTAAATCGCTCTTTTCGAAGAGGAAATCCAGATAAATCGCTGTTACACAAATACATCGAAAAAACTGGTTTTCGAACTTTGACGTGAAATTTTGCGCAGAAATAGACCTTTAACAGTATAACTGATTGCGAAAATTTCAGATCTTCTTGCTGTACCTATCTTAAGATGTGTCTATGATTAAAGTGTGTCTTTCATAAAGTTCATATACACTGGTAGATTCAATGTTTTTATTTCAGGCTAGAAACGCTTTGCGACATGTACAACTTTCATAAAGAGCTATTTTATTGAACATCTATCACTGTGTAACATTTGAAGTCAAAAATCAGTTTTTTCGAAATTCCTGAAGGAGAGCACGGAGTTGTGCTGAAAAATACTGTAAAAATGCATTATTGCAGCAGTAGTTAGCTCACAGTATACCTCTTCTCAGTGTTTTTCATAGGGTTGGCATGAAATTTTGAGCGTTTTTTTCGAAAATTCTCTTTTTATTTTTTAACTTCAAGAATAGAACTAGCTTTCAACAATGTGTGCTTCATTACTATCTATGACTTATCGCTAACGTTCTGGTAGAAAAAGGATCCCGCATTTGTAGAAGTCCTGAAACTTTTGACCGAAGAAGTTGACGAAGTCTATTATTGAGGTCGTTCTCGTCGTCGAATTTTTTTCGCGTAAATAGTTAGACAGAGAACGGTACAAGTGGTAGTCCGTAGGAGCCAAATCTGGAGAATAAGGTGGATGTGAAACTGTAACTCATCCGAGCTTCAATAAGTTTTCGTGCGTCGACTTTGCAATGTGAGATCTGACGTTGTCATGCAAAAAGTAAATTCTATCCTGCTTCCCCTAGAGTTTTGCTGCAACTCTGTCCAACTGTTCACAATATTGATCAGCAGTGATGGTGGAGCCAGTTAGAAAAAGTTTCCAATGAATAATCTCCCTTGCTCTCCACCAAACGCTCAGCATGATCTTCTTTGGGAAACGGTAATTTTTGGATGTTGCTACACCTGTTTGTCCAGTTCCCAGCCACTGCCGCTTGCGCATATGGTTAACATACAACACCCACTTTTCATCGTCGGTACTAAGATTGTGGAGTCATTGGTATTTGCGATAAGATGCCATTAATTTCATACAAGCGTCAATCCTGTGTTGGAGCTGATGTGGTGATAACTCATGTAGTATTCAAACTCAATATTTTCACGTTTGGCCTAATTCGCCCAGATGTGTTTCCACTGTAGTATGAGAGCACTCAAGTCGCTCTGCTAAACACCCTGTAGCTAATCTAAAATCTTCTTCGATAAGCTGCTTTAAAACATCCACATCCACCTGTAGTGGTCTTCTGAAATGAGGTAAATCGTCGAGTTCAAAGTTAATATTCTTGAACCGAATGAACCAAAGTTGCGCTGTACGGATAGAGAGTGCATCCTTGCCCATCGTGCTGCATATATTTCCTATTGCTTCCGTTGCCTTGCAACCCAAATGGAATTCATGAAGCAGAAGCATTCGGAGCTCTCTACAAGATATCTTCATTTCTAATTCGAGATCAACATCCACATCCATAATTTTGTTGTTGTTCGAAAGATTAATGCAAAAAATTTCTTGCCACAACCCAATAATAAATAATTTTTGCTTACAAAAACATTATTTTTTTTTACTGTGATGTGACGCTGTGTAAAGTAGAAGGCTTGATTTCACTGTCTTTCTTCTGTTGATTAATCTAGATTAATTGTGGGATTTTTTCATGTATAATCTACTTTGGTTTTTACGCTTAAAAAATCAGGAACTACATCTAATGTATTGAAAAATTTGCTGTTCATACTCTTTATAAATATAATCAAAGAGCGAAAAAATAGCAAAAATAACTAGATTCGACTCGACTTGACTCGAAAACGGTGATGATTCGACTCGATACCACAACGAAATGACTCGCACTCGACTTGACTCGAGAAATTGCTTGACTCACCCATCCCTGGAGCGTTATCACTCTGGAAATATATTTTTACCCACCCTGTATAATCAAAGTCAATTTAAGAAAAGTTATTATCTAGATCAACAGTAGAATGATCAATCACTGTTTTTAATACAAATCTCAAGCGAAATATTGATTCATTGTTTACCATTTAAATTCTCACATGTTTCCAGCAAAACAACCATCAAGTACTTTGTCAAAACCGTATATTGGCTACATTGCTTTTGTTTGAAATATTTTATGTTAGAATGAATATTAAGATAGTCGAATTGAATAAAAACTTTCGGTAAAATAGTCTCTTGTCGATATTATCGTTTATTAATTATTGTTTTAATATGATGAAACTAAATTGAAAACTATAGATATTCTTCATCACTATTTCTATGTATCCAAATGAAAATTATCTTTTAATAATCATTTCGAAAAAAATCTCCTTTTATTATTTAAATGAGAATTCAATTTAACAAAAATGAATCAAATTTTTTTTTCGAGTTTTTATTCAAGGACAGATAAACATCTACAAATGATATATTCATAAACGAAATTATTTTAAAGTATAACTAGCTCGATCTGATCATAGAAACAGCGACCATCTATATCAGTCTATATAGAATGCATTTTCTTACACAACATTTCAATTTTATCGAAACATCAGGAAAATATTTTATCAGAAAAATATATTCAAACAAACGGGATATTCATCTAGAAATATTATTTTTATTCAAAATAGGTTTCACGGAAACGATGACACTTAGTTATAGTAATCTTCGAAAAGATTTTACTTGAAAACAATTTATATATGATAGATGTCACTAGAACTAACTTGATCGTTTAAGTTGATGAGAAGAATTTTATTTTCGAAATAATTAATATAAATGATAAATATTATATGATGTTAATAGAAGTGTTTTCCTTATGTATTTTATATAAAGTGCATTAATTTCCTTATGTATTT